AATAATAAATTAATTAAAGCAACAAAACAACCTGAAGAGCCGGTTCGGAGCCGAAAGAGCCGGCTCTTTTTAGTGAGCCGAGCCGAAAGAGCCGGCTCTCTAAAAAGAGCCGGAAATCCCATCACTACTGTTTACTAACAACAGATATAATTAGTTTTCCCTGGTAAAAGGACCTACTTACATTTATCACTCTTTGGAAACAGCCTGTATAGAGTTAAGTTTTCCCACCCCCTCTACGGGTCACATAAATCCGGTCTTAGCACTATTTCTTGGGCAATTTACATAAAATAGAAATCCTTCAAACTATTCCTAGAGTCCCTCTCATTACTCTTTATTACTTTTATGGCCACATTTAACCTTAACAAGCCTTTAATCTCCTAAACAACACATTTTCTTGAACTGTGGAGCTGTGTGCTTCTTCTGGGTGCCCCTCTCTGGTGGTTCCGTTCAGTCCGGTGCTCCCTGGAGTCTCGCCACCCCCGTGGTCGCTGTGGTCCCGAAATCTCCTGCAAAGGAAACAAAAACACCTCCGTAACTTATTTTGTTCATCAATTGTTCTCTTAATTATTCAATCTTGGTTCAACCTATCATGTTTTCTAATCAAAAGCATTAACCTAATTATGTGTATAAGCGTGTTAGCATCTATCCATCGGCACTCAAGGTCATCCCTACAGTATATCAGTTGAGTCGGTCACGCTGAACGACGTTTTTGACCTTCAGTTTTGACCTTCACTCCTATCAGCACAGTTGCAATGTGTGTATAAAAAAATCATTTATATATATTATTCAATGTTACTCATTTCAGTAAACAACATTTTAACACCTTTAACACACTTAAAACTGTTGCTTCTGCCAGTGCGAAAGTTTCCAAGCAGAATGTCAAGCATCTTTTACCTTTTACACCCTGACACCTTTCACAATAGATTAGAAGAAAATCATTATAACTGCTTGTTCTACTAAAAGATCAAAGAGAAAACAAACATTTTAATCAATTAAGTTTAAGCATAAAAGCAATTACTTATGCGTAAGTTTTATCATAGCTAAATCAAACTCCCACCAGGTCCTACCATGATCATAAAGCCCCTTATTTCAAATTAAACCCAAAATCCCCCTTCTTGACACATCTCATGTGTCAAATACACTAAAGCCAGCTACTAAAACGTTATAACCTGTTCTTGATTCAGCATATTTTGATTTCATTTTGCTCCTCTTAATGTAACGGTACATTCTAATTATACTTATTCAGACTTAACCAAAATATATGTGCTTTCCTTACTTTGCTCCTGTTTTAAAGGAAAAAACCTTGGTCACTTCGACAAGTGTTTGTTATT